GTTGATACCATTCAAAGATAATACCACTGCCTAGTTGTAATAGCCAAACAAATCAACTAAGTAACTCCAGCAAGTACTAAGTTTGTTTAATAAGGTATTTGGAATCAAGATCAACTTAGTAGCTTTAAAAGAAACTAACAACATTCATTTAGGCAGTGGAATGGAAAAATCCATCCACAATAACAACAGGTCTAACAAGAAATGAGCAAGAACTCTTTGAAGTAACTTTAAAGCATTTCTGAATCATATAAAAGTTGTTAAATAATATATGAGACCACCTATCTTTGGGATTGAAAGATACTCTCTTGTTATCTATTTCCTTAAATATAATACAAATGCAGTTTCAATTAAATTCCCTATGGAAGTTTATTATGAAATTGACAAGATCATTCCAAAATTCACTGAGAATACACAAATACAGAAAAATTAGCAATAAAACTATAAAAACAAAAGTGGGAAATCTAGAAAATAACAAAATGTAGCACACAGCTTTAATAATTAAACCATGGAATGGTGTTGCAACAAATTCATCAATACATCAGAATAGATCATAACCACTTCTAAAGAACAGCATTGGAGTGGAGAAGATCTATTTGTGCAAGAGCAATATGGAGGCCATAAATTTAGGAAAAGATTTATCTTCACGTATATTTAAAAGAAATTGGGGAGTTAGGAAATCTAAAAATCAATAACAGACTTACAAAAAATATTTTCCCTATAATAGACAGTTAAAAACCATACTGGGCAGAAATTTCTATAAGTCAATAGATTAAAAAACTGTTAAGGGTTGAGTCATACACCCCAAAATTCATACTTTGAAGTCCTAATCTACAGTACCTTTGATGTAACATCATTGGGAGATGGGTGTTTATAGAAGCTGTCAAGTTAAAATAAGGCACTAGAGTGGGCTCTAAACTAATCTGAGTGATGTCCTTATAAAAATGGAAAATTAGTCACAGAGTCACACATAGAAGACAATGTGAAGACACATAGGAAGAAGACGGCCATCTGTAAGCCAAAGAGAGAGTCTGGGACAGATCTTTCCCTCACGGTCCTCATAAGGAATTGACTCTACCAACATCTTGATTTTTAATTTCTAGTCTCTAGAATTGTGAGACAAATTAAAATTTCTGTTGTTTGAGCTACCCTTTCTGTAGTACTTTGTGACAGCAGCCCCAGCAAGCTAATACAAAAACTAACCCAAAATATGAGTGGGTAAAAGGCATACTTAGATCATTCATAAGGGCAGAAATGCAAGTACTAATGAAAGTTATGAAAATATAATTAATCTTTCCAGTGAAGTGATCGAAATTTTGTCCTAGAGAAGGTACAATTTTTCACTCATGCCATGAACACATATTAAGTAAAGGAGGAAAACAATTTCCAGTTCAGGTGAATGTGTTGAGAAGAATACCAGAATACTATACTGATACTAGAAGTATAGACTAGGAAAGCAATTTACTAGTACCTATAAAAATTAACACGTTAACTTTGGGGTGAAATATTTCTATTTCTAAGAATATATGCCATAAGAATTTTCATTAAGATATATTTGTGGGTTTTTTTTCTGGTGAAATATATTTGTACCCACATATGTGGATTTCATTACTTTTTAAGAGAGAAAGAAAACTTGAAAACACCCTAAATGTCCCGTGGTAAAGTATGGTAAAATATAAGTGCGTGGATTTTAATATGTGTAGACATGGAAAGAGCTCTGAGATATACAAGCCAATTGCAGAGTACACTTCTAGGAGGATCATATAAATATAAAAAAAATATGTATGTTATGGGAAAAATAACCTGCATTGGGAGATAAATATGCACTCGTATAAATGCAAGAAAGTGTGAGAAATCCAGTGCTTTCATTAAGGTTACTTTTCTCCTTTTATAAGAACTTTGAATGACTGAATCTGGAGTGGTGCTATTAATTAGCACTTTCTACGATATTTCCCTGTGACTAATATATAATCACAAAATTGTGATATAAAATTTTGATATAATCACAAAAATTATATCCTTTTTGTGGCTTTCAGTTTACTGACCTGAACAAAAAAAGGATTTAAATTGGTTCTCCTTTCCACATGAATTCATCTGAAGGCCAAAATGGTGATAGAATTAAAATATAATTGTAAATACTAAAAAAGGAAATGCTATTCCTAATTTTACTTAATGGTAAATAAAAATGGCAACAATATTCAATACCAAAGACATATATGCAATAGTGAAGGAAGAAGTAATACATAATAAGTTCTACAATGGCACAGTGAATATTTAACTATGATAAATGCCTAGTCAAGTCACGGTATTCTTCCGGAGTACTGGCTAAGACATAGGACTCTGAAGGCTGACTGATCTACCACACCCTTAATAGAAATGTGTTCTGGAAAGTTACCATCCCTGTGACTCAGTTCCTTCAACCCTACTGTGGGGTTCATGCTACTACTTATCTGACAGAGTTGTGCAAATTAAATGAGTCAATATGTATGATATCACATCTTATATGTAATACATTACCAATGCATGTTATTAAACACTGTGATTTATTCTGGTCATTTAAGGTAATTTTGGAGATGTGTTTATTGTCACAAACATTCAGGGGAAACAAATTGGGATATGAACTAAAGCTGAATAGTTAGAAATAGATGGAAATCCTTCTTGCCCATCATCATAGGACTTTGCTAGAGAGACTGAGAGGAGACCTGGGACACTGTTCACCAGTGGAAATCTAAAGGCCATGGGGAGATAGTGAGGTTCTTAGCAAGGGAGCATTCCAATTTCCTTCAAACAAGAATACAAAGACCACTAGAAAACAACAGTTAAAAAATGATTAAGGAAAAAAACAAAAACAAAAACAGGGGCACCTGGGTGGCTTAGTTGATTGAGCATCCAAGTCTTGATTTTGGCTCAGGTCACGATATCGAGTTTCATGAGACTGAGCCCCGCGAAGGGCTCCGAGCTGACAGCATGGAGCCTGCTTGGGATTCTCTGTCTCTCCGCCACTACGTGCACCCTATCTCATGAGAAAAAGAAATTTACATAACCCAATAATTGTATTAGAAACCTATTGTAGATTGTAGACTCAGTTCCTTTATAGTTCTGCAGTAAGACTGAAAATTTAAAAAACTAGAAAATTGAGCCATTTTCTTACAAGTTTGGAATTGAACTTGTCAACCTGACTTTAACTAAAAAAACTGTTTTTCATATGACTTCTCTCTCAGTAAAGGGCTGTGTCCAACAGTTGCCAAGGCAGAAACAGGCCAGTGCCCTGCCTCTCCTTCCTCATAACACACACAGACAAAAGATGTTTTAAAAAATATTATATATTATTGATTCAATTTTGCTTGTTTCGCTGAAATCAGTGCAAGCTTCTCTGTCTCTGCTTCCTCTAATCTTTTTTTAATTGTTTTTCATGGTTTTTTTTTTTTTTTTTTTTTTTTTTTTTTTTTTTGTGAGAGAGAGACTGAGTGAGTTTGTGTGTGGCGGGGGAGGGGGACGGTCAGGAAAAAGGGAGAGAATCCCAAGCAGGCCTCATTCTGTCAGCACAGACTAGGGGCTCTATCCCAGGACCCCGTGATCATGACCTGAGCTGAAATCAAGAGTCAGACGCTTAACCCACTGAGCCACACAGGTGCCCCTCTGCTGCTTCTAATCTAATTTAAGCCACCACAAATTTTTCTCTGGATTGTTGCTGTGGACTTCCTTTCTCCAGGTTTTTCCCTCTTCCAGTTTACTCTCCAGTTTTTAGCCAGGAAAATCTTTACAAAACATAAATCCGACCATGTCACTCCCTGTGTAATTATTTATTTTCAAATTGTGAAAACTCCTGTTACTTAAGCATCTTGCATCTGTTTTTTTCATGCTTTCCACATCCTCATTTAGCAGGAAGTCCCAACCCCTGAGTTAGGACTCCAAACCTTCTGATACTTATGCACTTTTCAAAAATTCAGTGAGCACATTTTTATTAGTATTTACATGTGCTTTCCCCTTTTCTATAGCTAATTGCTATTTATCTTAACAAGTTCATTTTATATTTTGTACTACTTTTTCCAGGAAGTCTTTCCTGGATTAGCAACTCTCCTATGTGCTCCAATTGATTATTTTGGTCTGTCTCTCTCAGTTACAGTTCTGGGCTGCCCTGGCAATTATCTTTTTCTTTGTCTACATTTTCCCCATACACACACACACACACACACACACACACACACACACATACACACCATAGCATACATAAACATACCCTACCTGCTCATTTATGCCTTGAATAGGAACTTAGGATAGTAACTTGGTCCTTCTGAGCTCAATTATTTTATATTTGCAAAATGAGAATTACACTACTGGCCTCCTTACAAAGACCATATGAAAAAAGTAAAAGAAAATATGTGTATATATATGATGTGGAGTCAGTTAAGTCTTTCTTTCATGAAAATTAACAAGTCTGTTCAAATTTTACTCTGATTACAATATTTATTGACTGATTTCATAGATATTTTGTTTTTTCCCGTTCCTCTTTAATAGCAATAGACATTCTTAGACATGTTTGCAAAAGGGTGCCTTTTCCCTACACAGCAGGGATAAAACAAGACCCCGACATTCTGCTCTGGCTCTGTCCCCAAGTGTGTCTCCCTGATGTCAGAATCTGTTTGTGTCTTTGGGATACGTTGGTTCAAATCATATCTCTTTGCTGTTTGGAAAAATAACTGTCTTCCAAGAGGTACCTGATAAGCTATGTTATATCTATCAAAGATATACAGTATTGTTCTGGAAACTCTCTGTAGCCTGGAGGGTCCTCAATGCAAAATGAAACCTTTGTTATACAGCTCTTTGGTTTTCAGTTTTCCCCTTTTAGATGAAAGAGGACAAATAAAACATCCTAGTAATTAAGGTTTCAATTAATCTTGATTTTGCTTTAAATGCAAGGGCTTGTGATTATTTTTAAAGTGGCCAAAGCCACATGGGAGCATTTGAGGGGCTCTCATGCGATTTTTTTCTGTGTTAGACAGGACTATGAAGATCTAGAAAAGCAGCTGAAAGAAGTCTTTAAGGAGCGAAGCAACATCCTCCATCAGCTGACAAAGACATCAAGAGAACTTGATGGAATTAAAGTCAACCTTCAGGTGAGATGAAAACTAAATTTCCTGGCTGCAAAGGACTTGGCCTGTCTCGGTGGATTAGCATTAAAAGACTCCTGCATTTTTTTCTTTACCAGTTTTGAATATGTTTTCTGGGCTTGACCATGGGAGTTATTTATTATCATATGAGCTTTAAAAAGAAATGCCATTTGAAATGCAGTCTGGGAATCTGTGGTTTGCAAATTCAGAAAGGAGAAAATTGTGTGCTTGGCAAGGCCATCAGTTTCTCAAGCTTCTAAGATCAATTTGCCCCCTGTGTTTTTTATATTATAAAATGATGAAAACTAATTATGACCAAGAGTTGAATGAATATAGGGATGATCTCTAGAAGAGAATTTGAATTCCACAAAGGACAGTTCTCAAGATTCTTTAATAAACCTCATTACTAAAATGGGTAAATGCCTTAGAAAGGTGAGAGTCAGCTATGAAAATGTATGAATACTCAGTGAAATCCCAATCAAAAACCAGAGACAAGATCATTATCTAAAAAAATTTTTTTCTGAAATATCTTATATTTTAATATTTGCTTGAATATTGAAATTATTGAGGACATAAGGCATACTAAAAGCTTTGCTGTTTTATAGAATTTAATTTTCATAATATATCTCTGAGATGTGTACTATTAATGTGATTTTTCTTGTTACACATGAGGAATTATGCTTAGAGAAGATAAGTTATTTTTGAATGTCACAAGGGAAGCCAGAGTTTCAGTACAGGAAATCTGGCTTCAGGGCTTGTCTGTTAGTTACTGCACTGAACCATGCTTCTGAACCATGTGGAGTCACTGTTATCCTTAGCTTTTTATTCCATGAAGTTGATAAGGATGATGATGGTGTCAGTCGCCACTCCAGTCTATTGAACATGGTCTCAAGGTCTTACATTAGGTATTCTTTGTATAATTTCTATTTAATTTTTACATGAACACTATGCTATGGCTGTCTTGTAAGTGGGAAAACGAGAGTTAGAGAAAGGTTAAGAAACCATGGAGGACACAGTGAGAATTAGGTGGCAGAGCAGGTATATGAGCACAGCGTCCAAGCTCTTGTTCCTGAAGTTATGTTACAACTTGAGAACATAAAAATAAAGAAGCACAAAACCCACCCACATTCCATTAGAACACAGCGATGAGTATCAGGGCGGTAACAGTGCTAAGATGGAAGAATACATAGAATGTTAGGAAAGCCCTGACTTGGATAAAAAGGAAACTAAGTCAATTTCTACAGGAAGCTGATACCAGAGTTACATCTTATCCTTAAGTAGAAATTCACCAGTTACATGGGGCTACAAAGAGTGTTCAGTAGGCCTGGCCCCTTCTCAGAGGCATGGAATACCTGCCACTTTGAGATTATTTCAAGCATATGGTTAGATGCCCATGTATGGTCAGGAAACTCAGTGTGTCTACACCAGCAGCCTAAGTCAAGACACCCAAGTACAATCTGGAAAATTGCTTGACAACAATATATAATTTCATGGATTCATGGTTTTTAAAAGGGTAACAATCCTACCACTAAATGTCATTTTTTAAAAAGCCTTTTTCCATTTTCTGTAAGCCATTGTGCAAGATATTTTTCATTTTTTATCGTATTAAATGCTCTTAGCAACCTCTTCACAAAATTAAGGTAATATTTCACTCATAAAATGAAGAAGCAAGATTCAAATAGGCCAAGAAAGTGCCCAGTCATACATCTAATAAATGGTGATTCTAGGTTTTAAACTAATAGTGAATAACTACATAACCCATTCCACATTTTCCTCCCAGTGGAACTTCATGAAGAAAGGAGTTTTGAAAGTTGTCATAGTTTTCTCTGTAACCATAGCCCCTGGATGGAATGGTAATATAGGTCAGCCAATAAGCACTACATTGATTAATTCGTACATAAATCAACCTTTAGAATCCTTAAAGGAACTAAGAATATTTTCCAAGAAGTGAACCTCACTTCCTCAGATGTTGCTGGATAAATAATAACCAAGGACGCCCTAGCTTTTCTCATTATATACACTTTGCTGTATCTTCCCTTTTCATTTCTGCATCTCATGTTTTTTTGTTTGTTTGTTTGCTTCTTTTGTTTTGATTGTAAATGTCTTGAAGACAGTCATCTGCTTCATCTTGGTTTCCGTCAGAATGCCCAGAATATAGCAGATGGTCAGCAAATGAATAGGCCTATTTTATTGCACTGCTCATCACGTGTTTTTCCACATCTGTTTTGCCCTTTGAGTTTTTTCCAATAAATGTCTAAAGTAGACTGTTCAAAAATCTCATCCCTGTTTTTCACCTAAGGAAGTCAGAGGGCAGATTTTGTGACCCGCCCCAGGTCATATGACCATGATGCACTTTGAGCTATGAATCCCATGATTGGCAATGCCCTCCATCCCTTCCTCATCCTACCCTCTTTGTATGTTATATAAAGCTATTCTTTCCAAATAAGCGAAACGCCTTTTATTGGCTGCTTCCTAATTATGACCTCTGTCAGTTATTTTAGGGAAGAAGTTTCTCTTATGCAGTTCAGCCCACCACATCCATATCAGAATGCTGATCCCGCTGTATGAAAATTATCTGATTTTAGCCTTAGACTCTACAATTTGTGAAGGCAGATGTCGTCCCTCTGCACAGGACTTTGCATAATTCTTGAGAGATATTTGTTAAATAGGTATTAAGTAAATAAAGTATTTGCCATTCCTAAGATTGTTAATTTTCTACCTGCCACAGCTGCTTTTCCTGCAAATAATATCACTGCCCATTTCAACATCTAATATCAAGAGAGATAGGTTACCCTGTTAAATAGTTTATTGACTATAAATAAGAAAGTTATTAGGGAAGGCTTAATGGGCCAGATTCTATAACGAGAATAGCTCAGTGGGCTTTTCTGTTTTAAGTCACAGTCTGTGGATGCTGGATTTGCCAGAGTAAATAAACACTAATGACTGAGGTGGTACATATTGTTTCTCTTAATACCCTATCTTTTCATACCAGTTACAATTTTACATGGCCCTTGTTTTCCTGTGCATGCTGCTGCATTACTCATTAAGAATAAATAGACAAGACCAAACAGGTACATGTTTTTTGGCTGCTTTGATCTTGCATTATGTTATTACATAGCTGATTCAGAGACGTCTTTTATGCCCCTTTGTATTTGTAGAAACTATGCCAGAGCTGGTTTAATATGGCTGCAAAGAACACAGTTAAACTTCAACGGAAGAGCAAAAGATGTGTTTTCTACTTGCTTGTAAAGAGACCTAGATATTCGGAGAGCATTCTCCCCTCCGTCGAACCTCTAAAGGCTGAGAGACTCAGTATATTCGCTTTCACCACTGTGTAGCACCTATCCTGTGCTTGGTGTCATGAATTCTCATGGGCACCTTAGAGCCATGAGGACCATCGTAGCCTCATTTGCACATTCTTGTTCCAGAGCCATAAGAGCAGTCACACCTGTGCCATAGAGACAAAAGTGAGCCTCACTGTGTCACTTGAATAAGATTTCCTTTTCCCACTTTTCTTATCAGTCTTTGAAAAACGATGAGAAAACTTCCAAAACTGATGTTCAGAAGCTTCTGGAAATAGGTCAGAGACAAAGGTAAGACTGTGCTTTCCTTTAATTTTCTCAATTCTTTCTTTTTCCCCATAGTGTGAAAAACTCCACATTCAGAAATTTCACAAAAATCACTTCATTCTAAATGCATTAATTCATTTATCTTCTTACTTGAATGCGTGAGGATCTTGTTCAAATGAAGATTTGTATGCAATAAATCTATGGTGGGGTTTGAAATTGTGCATTTTCAACAGGTTCTCTGGTGATGGTTATGCTATGCTGCTTGTCTGCAGATCACAGAGTGTTCATGGATCTGTGGTATTTTCCTCTATTATCCTAGTAAGACAGACCCTGATAAATCTGCCCATCAATAGACACGTCCAATAACATGTTTAATGGCATCAAAACTTGATCATAGTGTTAATGGTGGGGTGGTAAGGAATGGGGTAATCTTATTAACAGCATAAGTAGAATTAGTCTAATCTTATTAGTGTTGGATTGTGTTTTTTTTTTGAAAGAAGTGTGTTGTGAGTAGATTTTTATGCAGTATAATATGATTTGAAATTGCCTCTCAAAGGAAAAAAAAAGATATTTTAAGGTAGAAACAAGCTAGCATTTGTATACATTTACTAGAGGCTCTCTTAGATGCTTTATATATATTTTCCTATTTCACCCTCATAATTACCTTATAAAGTAGATATGATTTCCCTATTTAATGGATAGGAAATCATTGCTCCAAGGCTTAAATGAGTTGATGAGAGATGTATTAAGTGGAATTTGCTCTGTTGTGTCTTACCCCGTGGCGACACCCTTTCACATTAGTTCATTGATCACAAAACACAAAACTCCAAAAAAGCTTATACACACCATGTAGTCCCTTCTCATTGTCTTGTATCTTCTCCACTGTCCTTGCCTTCTGACCCAGAAACCTCTCATTGGCATATATTCAGATCAAGCTGATGACACATTAAAAATTTCAGATCTACTGTCCTATGTTGACTCTTTTTATTATTTTAATGAAATTATTATTTCTTAACATGAAATTGTCTTCAAAGTCAAGTATTAAAGAGCTTGTATAAGATAATTTGCTAGCATATTTCCAAAAATAGATCATTTTAAGTGATTGTATTGGTTTGAAATAAACTACCTCTAAAAACATGGTTACATTTATTAAGAATTTCAGATCATCATCTATACACTTGGTATGATATACAAACTACCAGATGATGGGCCAAGTCTTTCAATTAAATGGCAAAACAAACCTGATATTTTGGTATTACGATTTCAGTGTTTTACTCAAAATTAGAAAGCTTGTTTAAAATGTGCAACTTGTATAATGTACACAAAGTCAGAATGGAAAATTTGGTAAATTCTAACGGTTGGTAATTTCTCAAACAGATATGACATTTGATATATTAGTTTTTGTGATTACTTGCAAAGAGAGATATAAAAATCATGGCTACCTGAAGGTGAAGGAGACTGTATCTCATTTGAAAACAAGAGATACTAATAAACAGTAAAAGAGAAAAAAAATATCTTAGAATATAAAAATGTTAACTAATTTCAAATTTAGAAGTTTTATCTGACTCTGAAACAGTGCAATGCATTGTAGATGCCACTTGGCTATACATCCAGCTCTCAGTAACCTTTCATCCTCTGGGATGCTTGCCACCTGACACTTACGTGCACCAGTGTTCCCTAGAAGTCATTAGGACTTCAACGTCACTCACAGTTACAGAAACGAATCACTTAGAATTTCCCTCTTGGAACTGTAACTAAGAGGCATCTAATCAGTCTCTCTGTGTAGCTGAAACCAGACTGTGAGTAAGTAAACTCAGAGGCTATAATCGTGCAGAGAGAGCAGAGAGCACCTTGCTGTTGAGACAGAGAAAGGAATGCGTGTGCATGCATGTGCATAGTTTTGTGTGCACGTGCATGTGTATGAGAGAGAGCGAGCACACAAAAGTTGTGTTGGCTCTTGAGTGTTAACATTTTGACAGCCTAGATGATACCCACAGAAGAGCTCCAGATCTAAACCATACCATATAAGGAGAGAGTGTGTACTTAAATGTGGAGACTTGGGGGGTTGGAGGGTAACCTAAAGTGTCTGAAAACTGCCTTAGAAAAAGTAATAATACATTTTATTCTCCATGGTGGTTGGTGGGTGGAGATTCTAAGAAGGCAGTTTTGGACTCTCTGTTCCAAAGCATCGTACAGAATCGTGTGCTCTGAAAACAAAAATGATACATGGGGCAGCAGCAAGTTCTCCATCTGAGATGTTTTTACGATACAAGTTGTAAAAAAAAAAATGCCTTCCTGTAGTGTGATTTTGGTGTGTTTTCATATTTATAATTTGACATTGGAGGTGTATGAAACAGCTGGTCCAGATAGGACCCTAGAGTAGCAGCGATAGTTGGGTAAAACCCTGGAGTAGCAGTGATAGTTGGTGGAGGAGGCCTCCCATGAGCAAGTCAGGAGTCCTCTCTCATAGGAGTGTAACTTTCCAAGGCTGTGAGGCAGAGACTTGGGGCTCGCTAAAGCACAGGAGCAGTGGGAATGTGTAGAGATAAGTCTGGAAGGTGAAAGAGGAGATGGAGATATTCAGAAGGTTCAAAAGATCAACTTTACCGTTCTGTCTGATAGCTTTCTTTGATGTGAGAAAATGTGTAGAGTCCTCTACCTTCTCCAGTGTTTGTTAACAGCAGAAAGTGCTTTAACCTTTTAATTTTGTTTTACTCCCTACATTGCCTATAGATGTCAGTATGTGGGAATTTTTGAATATACATAGATACTCATTTTTATTTTTATAAAATATATTTTATAATTTTAAAATGTATGTATCATTTAAAATTCAATGATATTTTTAATTTTTAAATATTTAAAAAGGATAAAAAGTTAAATGATAAAAAATATTTATTTTTTAAATATTTAAACATTTAAAAATTGATTAAAAATGATAAAAAATTTAAAAACTTTTTAAATTTAAAAATGATAAAAATATAATTAATCATTGTAAAATTTTAGTATATTTTTTTTAACAGTTGGAAATATAATAGTTTGTATTTTCATTCAGTGCTTATTAATGATCTGAGTGTTAGGGATAGCATGTAGACCCTTTCTGCCCTCGTTCTTCCCTCCATCCCTCTCTCCCTCCCTCCTTCCCTTTGTTCTTTCCCTCCTCTTTTTCTGTCTCCACAGAGGTAGTGTAATGACTCCAGGGTTTGAACACATAGGTTCTAGAACACAATTTCACTACCTTTCTCCGTATCAGTTTTCTGCCTGTAGTATTATGTCATAGTTTGATGTGAACCTTCTAAGAGTGAGTGCCTGATGCATTGGAAGCCCACAATATATATAGATATTTCTATTCTATTATGCCACAAATGGTCTTTGTGGAAGATAGTAGAAACAATAACAGAAGCCCCAATTTTAAATGTTCATATATGAAACAATCCTGATCAATGCTACCTGTTTGAGGAAGGAATGGGAGCTGAGACTTAAATCCACTCTAAGCACCAGCATGTTACAAGCTTCCTCCAGGTGAACAGTAATTGTCTAAGAACCAATGTGACCATAACTATTTTACAACATGTTTCAGTTATATTGTACTTTGACAAACGAAGTCCAGATTGATTTTAAAAATCCTATGGACTCTCATTGATATTCCTGAAATTGAGACTGGGACCTAAGAGTTTCTAAAGTAAGAAATCTAGGAGCGTCATTAAATCCCATTGGATGAAAGAACGGTCCACAGGTGTGCAAGATGAGATGGTCAAAGAATGAGCTTAGGGACCCAGAGTACTGCTGAAGGTTATGACAGAGATCTCATATTTATTAAATGATTATTTTCTAGGCTTTGTGCTAAGCATTTTGCCTACATTGTGTCATCTGAACGTCACTGCAAACCCATGAGGTAGCTCTATTAGTGTTCCCATTTTATAGATGAAGAAAATGGGTCTAAGACGGTACAGTCTTATCTCTAGTCTCTGTAGTGTGGTTACACGCAAAGGTTGCAGGGGTGGGTAGTCTTTTCCCATGAGAATGGGAATTTTAAATTAGTTTGAGTCCTGCTGGTAAGGCTGGGAAAGGTTTCTGTTTGGCTGTTGCTATTGCTTTGAAGGAGTTTATTCCTGTAGCCAGAATAAAACGCACACACACACACACACACACACACACTAACCTTTATCTGCTATCAGAATTTTTTGAAGTGGTAGCTTAGGTAATAAAATGAAGGCACAGAAAGATAGTATGACTTGCCATATGAGTAAATCTTAAACCCTTGAGAGGAATGCGTAATTATGGAACTGTTTATATTTTTAACAAGTGAGGCAACATCCATGCGTAGTAGTGAGCTTGAGACAAATGTGTAATACGTGCAAGACATGTATTTCTTTTATTATCCCCAATAAATGAGGCAAGTCTGAAATAAGTCTCTTTTCTCTTTGTTTTTATAAAAAGTCCCAGGCCTTATAAAGCATGTCTAAAGTACACTGTCTTAGAATTAATCAATTAGAAGCATCCACAGGGAGTTGTAATTTTATCCTATCTGCAAGTCTGTGGCAACTTTTTTTTTTTCTAACCAGCATGTTCATACCCTGGCATGCTGTCACTAAAATTAGCTTTTCAACTCTAATTATTATATTGATTTGATTTAACACATTATGCAGCTCACAGATGATTCACTCAGTGGGATTTTTATAAGACACAATAGCAAGGCGATTTTCTTTAAATACAGCTTGCTTTTAGTACTTGTATGGGAGAGAAAACTTTATTACTAGAATCCTTAGATACATCCTGTATGCTTAATCATGTCTCTATATACAGTTCTAGTTATCAGTTTCCTAAATGTATGTAGACACCAAAACCTCCTTTCATAATGTACATAGGAAATAATACAATTGTGTTTCCCTTTTGCTCTCTATTTTCTGCTAGAGAACAAATGAAGTCTCTCCAGGAGGTCCTGCAAAATCAACTTAAAGAGACATCTGAGAAAGCAGAAAAACAACAAGCTACCGTAAGTATGTTTCTTCTTTGTGTCCTTTGCTTTGGTGCTAGGAGATTTTTTTTTCTTCCCCAAATCACCATGGAACAAACACTCCTGTAAAAAATAACAATACAATAAGGAAAATTCGATCACCAAAATCATAAAAATACTTGGTCAGCATTCATTTCAAGGAAAGAGTTTTGTTGTATTTGATTGTTAGGGGTCTTCTAAATCCCAACCCTCATTTATGAATGAAAACAGAGGTGGAGTAGGACAAAAGTGCTGGTGTCAGCCCCATACCAATGGCTCCTGACTTGTGGCCTACAACTGACCTTGAGCTGAGTTAAGCTGTATAGATCCCTACCTCTCATCCACTTAGCAGGAATCTCTCAGGGGCGGAGCCATATTCTTCCTGTTGAATCAACTCCACAGGTGATTCTGACACGCCCCTAGGCTTGAGAATCAAACTTCTCTCCAGATATTCTCACTGGATTTCTACTGTATTCTCCAGAACCACCTTATGTACCATTTATGGTTAATGAGCCTTTTATCTTGCTTCTAGGACCCGAGTCTATTTTAAAATATAGTATATTAATGGAAAGTTTAAGGTGCAGTTAGGCCAACAGATCAGGAAATGACTACCATTGAGAGGATAGTTTATTTCTCACAATTCCCAAGACGGATGACATGCCATGGGACTGGTGACCACCCATGGAAGTACTTGGGTAGGTCATGAGGCAGAGGGAACTGTGGGCAAGAGTCTTTATTGTGGGTTCTGTGGGAAGGAATGGGTGAGAAGGTGTAAGCAGCACTAGGAGGAGTCAGTGTGAATGACTTCAGCAGGCTCTGGGATGTAAGGAATGCTTACCTGTACCTGCCCCTGGGGTGATCAGGGCAGGTGTATAGTGAGTGGGCTGGCCTGTGAGAGCATGCCAATACAAAGGGGTGGCTCGGGCTGTGGGCTCTGTGTTGGTTACTTTGTTTTTGAAAAGCATGTCACCAGGAGGAATTGTTCTGTGCTGGCAATTGAATAACTAATATGCTTTAACCCAGAGTCAGGAAAGAGATGACCACAATCTTGACAAATATGGGATTGAGATACACGTATTAAAACAACGATTATTTTATTAATGTGCATCTGATGGGATTTAGAAGACAGATTTCATAGTACCTCTTCCAAATTGTGGTCATCTCAGAAAGAATGCTTTGTGCTTATTCTCCCTCTTCGAAAATTCTAAGTTGACTAAGAATTAAACTAGTTTGTATTTTTAAGCTTTTTTTGGGGGGGTGTGAATAATATTTATTTTCTCTGTTAGACTGTTGGTGTAATTGAAGGCTGGATGATAAGGAGAGATAAAGATAATTGTTCACTCTCAAATACAGGGGAAGAACTGGATTTGCTTTTGCAAACGTTGTGCTATTTTAGATTTAAGAGCTGATAATCTTATGTGCTACCCTTGATTAGATATCTAGTAACTATGCCTTTTTCCATAAAAATAGCAGGTTGTATGTTTTATGCAAAAGATGTTTCAAATATACCATTTGATAAGTCCATAATAAAATCTCATGAAACTTAAAAAATAAGCTTAAATCACAAAAATATGAAAGAAGATAAATTTATGAAAAATTAAACTGAAGAAACAGTAGAGCTGTCATGATCTAATGCTATTTGAAAGTACTTTTTAAGAATATTTTTTATTATCCCTGAGCAAATAATGGAATAGCTTATCTTTCAAACTATGTTCCTCCTAAAAGTCCTAATAGACAGCAAGGAAGAATGAGCTCTCATTCTCTGTAACCAGAGTAATTAAATATATTAATGCTCATTGGATGCATTTCACTACTCTTGTTAATTTTTATGGCTTAACTTGCCCTAAGTGAGACATAATTAGTTTAAAGGCAAAAATTAGCTTCTAGCTTTGACTCTCATTAAGAATAAAGGATTGCTATGTTCTTATATTCTTTGTTCAAAGTAAATAAATGATATTTTCTGTTTCTGAGAATTAAATTCATAGCTATCTCTTGAGAATGCTTATTTTTTCCAGGGATGTTAAAACCTGCTGGGATTCGAGATCAATGGTTTCAAAATGCTAATACTTTTTGAATATTCTGAATATATTTTAGCTCTTGAATATTGAACACTGACTTCTCAAGATTCTCTGTCCTTGTTTCACATTTAAATAATTATATTCTTTATTAATAAAACTAACTTTAATTAAGAGTATAATGAAAACTGGGGCACTGGGCTGGCTCAGTCGGTAGAGCATAAGACTCTTGATCTCCGGGTCTGGAGTTTGAGCCCCACAGTGGGCATAGAGTTTACTTAAAACAAAACAAAACAAAACAAAACAAAACAAAACAAAACAAAACAAAGCCTGGTCTAGCTACTTCTTAAGGTTGTTTTGAAGTAATGTGTGAGAAAACGCCATGTCATGTGTTTGTATGTAAAAATAAGATAATTATTTTTTTAAGTTGTTAATTATAGAAAACATATTGAATAATATCAAAATGTGAGGATTTGGGAAAAATTGAGGTCCATGAAGGAATAGGTTATTAATATAAACAAGATGGCTTCATTTTTAGATTTTTATTTTATTTTTAGTAGGCTTCATGCCCAACATGGGCCTTGAACTCAGGCAACCCCAAGATCAAGAGTCTGTGCTCTACTGACTGAGCCAGTGAGGTGCCCAATATAAGTAAGAGTGCTTTTTGTAGTTCATGACTTAAAGACAAATCTGTAATATATCAGATTTTTCTAGTGCTTATAAAGTGTTTTTAAAGTAAGCTCTAACAGTTGGCTTTTTTTTTTGTAATGGGAGTGCTCACTTAAGCTTTGATTGCAGAGGCATCCACTTCAAAGATGGCTATCTGAAATAAACACAGAGGCGCCAGCCACATCACTAGATAAAGAGCAAGGCCAGGCCCTCCCCCTCCCAGACTTAAAGCTGCTAAAAACCCCCGGCTTCCTTTGTTTTGAAGATCTTGTTTGATTTCAGTAATTGACCTTTGGGGCTGCTTGTTTGTTCTCTTCCATTGTTTTAAATTTCCATTCTTATGTTTTAAATTCACCTACCCTCCACCCCAATAAAAAAGCATAACCTCAGGCCTGTGCTCTCCCTGGCTCTTTCTACCTAAGGCTTCACTGTGTGGCCCAGGTGTAACTTGTAATTTCCACAACTTGTAAGCAATACCTTTATTTTTTTTGTTTTTAAAATTTTCAGTTTCCTGATGATATTGATGAGGGTGTCTTGCAGTCATACTAAGAACCACAAAGGCCGGTCCAGCCACAAGATTGGTTACCAATAGGCTGAGACAGTATGAAGCAGTAAAAATTGGTGCAAAAGCTGTTTATTGGGGCATACACTATTGCTCTGCATACATATCTTTCGTTTTTTAATTTTTTAACGTTTATTTATTTTTGAGAGCCAGAGAGAGACAGCGTGAGCAGGGGAGATGCAGAGAATCTGAAGAATTCTGATTCTGAATCTGAGGCAGGCTCCAGGCTCTGAGCTGTCAGCACAGAGCCAGAGATGAGGCTTTGATCTCATTGACCACAGGATCATGATCTGAGCTGAAGTCAGACACTTAACCAACTGAGCCCCCCAGGTGCCCCTGCATTCATATCTAATTTTGAATGGCATTAAGTCCTCCATTGATTCCTTTGCTTTACCAACCAAATCAAATTACCTTCTTAAAGGGACAAAGAGTGTGACTCATGTATTCAGGTTGCTGTCAGTATCTTCATAGTTCAAATTTGCCCTGAAAATTATTACGACCAAGATAACGATCATGGTAGTTCTCAAGCTTCTGCTTGTTTTATATGCAGTTTGACCATTCAAAATTGGTTTAGATTTCTATTACCATTTGAAGGAATGGTACAAGAACCCTTACACAAGCCAGAAGAGAGTGTTAACATCTGTTGTAAGGGTTTACACAACAGACAAAAGCAAAATGTACAAAAACATGAACAAGACAAATACACATCAACTTCAGGGTAGTGGTTACTTCTGGAGACAGGGAAGGAAGAAAAATTAGGTAGGACTTTAATAGTAGGTGTTGTTATGCCCAGAATTCGTGATCCCCAAAGACCACTAGGGAGCCGAGTCCGATGCAAAAGCAAAAGAGCCTTTATTCAAGGTAGCTCGAGCTCAATCCCCTACCTGCACCGACGCAGCGGTGAGATACCGGGGAGAGAGAGTGAGTTTCAAAAGCACAAAGGTTTTATAGGGGTCTAGGGGCAGCCGATTGGCTGGGGAAGGGTCAGAGTCCTGTTACGCAGGTCGCTGGGCGTGTTTTGATCAGGAAGTTTGAACGGGTGAGCGGGAGGTTACTCAAGGGGAGGAGGCACGGTCTGAGGTTTCTGTGATTTTCCCGGAAAAGGGGTCATGTCGGGGACATAGTCACTCAAGGTGGAGAACACAGAACAAGATGGAGTCGGCCGGCGTAGGCCCGCCCTTTCAGGTGTAATATTTTTTTTTATATGATTTGAAGGAAGTTTAACTAAATATTTACATTTGTTTATTCTTAAGGTTGGGCCCAGAGACATTTTACATACGACTTCTTGATCTTTTGTTTATGTCTGAAATGTGTCAGAACTGTTTTTTTTTTTCTTTTTTAAATCTGTATATATAGTGAAAATTCATTTTACTCCTAAACTTGATTTCTACTGATTCAGTCTATCTCTGTAGATAATGCACATTACCAGTCTCTTTTGTATTATTTCAGGGATCCTCTAAGACTATGTTGTCCCACTATGTACATAAGACTGCTGAGCATTATAAAATGGCTGGTCCAAATTGAGATATGCTGTTAGTGTAAACCATACAGTGCATTTTAAAGATGTACTACAAACTCTAATGTCAATTATATCATTAATCCATGACATGTCAAAATGATGTCTTGAATATATTGAATTAAATAAAATGTAGTAGTGAAATTAATTTTATCTGTTTCCTGTTGCTTTTTTTAAAAATGTGACTATGTGGAAATAAAAAATTGGAGAAATTAAATATTTCATCCACTATCATAAATTTACTTTTTATCATAGTGAATGCTCAACGGCTATAAAGTCTCAAATTTTAAAACTATGCTATACTGACTTTATTTTCAAAATACTCAGGCAGATATGCTCAGGGAGAAAAGGTGCTATGTTTATGCAAACATGGCTTGGACAACTGACCTAAGATCACATATCCCAACAATATCACATTCGGAAGGAAACATCATGGTTTCTTTGATGTAGTATTATAACATTCCGTGTTTTTGAGATCAGAAATATCACCATGCAATTGCTTTCTAACCTGCCACTGATGAAAATTACCTGGAGAGTGTTTTATGAGTGGAGATTTCTAGGCGCAACCCTAGAATCTGGCTTTTTGTTGTTTGTCTTGTTTTGTTTTTTTAAAGGACCACATTTTTTTAAATTCAGGTTTAAATAGTTAGAGAATCACAGTTATAATATGCACAGTTTCTTAATTAAAAATAATGAATCTTTTACTACATGAGAAAAGGCTTTTTTATGATCAATGGATATATGTATGAATTGGGCAATGAAAGTTTGGTTAATGAAAATTTTAATCCTTTGTTCTTTTTCAGTATTTCTTTATAAAGAAATAATCATTGTATTATGCTTCAAAAATCATGAAAATAAATTGACAAATCCATAGAAATGAGTTTGAAATGTTCTTACATAATATTTTATTCATTTTCAGATTAATTTTTTAAAGACTGAAATGGAAAGAAAGAGCAAAATGATCCGAGATCTCCAGAATGAGGTAAGATATATTTCAGGCAAATTCTATAAATCAAAAAAAAAAAAAAAAAAAAAAAAAAAAAAAAAAAAAAAAAAAAAGACAAACCCACATATAGTTTCACCACAAGTTTTGGAGTATTGATCACATGCAAATTTGACCTTATAGTAATGCCCCTGATTTCGAATCCGAGAGACCACCAAGAAGCCGATACGGATGCAAACACACGAGGGTTTATTTGCAAGCTTGAGCTTGGGCCCAAGTATACCCAACACAGCGGAGCAGGGACTTGGATCCCTAGGTTAAGAGGCGTAGCAGTTTTATAGGGGCCAATGGCCAATGAGATTGTAACACACACAGAAAGTTGCATAGTCATGTCAGTCCACACGCAGGTGGCCAATTGAATTACAATTTACCCTATAGTAACTGTTTGAACTAGCCTATCACTCTGGTCAGAATTGGCGCGCAAGTTTGGCGGGCAAAGGGCGGGGTTTACATTCTCTGGCAGTTAGGGGTTCCGCATTCCTAAATGAGCCGGTTTCCGGTAAGGGTGCGCTCAGCGGCTTGACTAGGGTGGGGGAAAGTCTTAAGCAATAAGTAGGTCATGTGGGGGTTATACATGAGATGGTGGGTGTAGCACAAAATGGAATTAGTCTTGCTCTGCTTGTCCAGGG